AAAAAAAAAAAAAAAAAGTGCTGGGATGCTGGGGCTGGGCGGGGCAGCCATTGACAGTGCTGGGAGAGCAGGCGAGGGATGAGGCCTGTTTAATTCGGAGATTTGATGGCACCCGAATCTCTCAATTGGATTTGGCTGTATCAGTTTGAGACAGTGATTCAAATCACCAAATCAAATCACTGTCCCCCTCATCGGCCGAATCTGAATCCAAAGTGAATACTAGCTGCTTCTCATGGGCCTATTGGCAACTCTCTTTGCTGCATATTGTGAACTAACATCCATAGTTTTGTGGCTACTTTAGAAGACAGAGAGGACCCTGTTTTATTCAAGGGTGGGAGAATGGTCCAGCTGTTAAAGCAGGGACCTGGGAGAGATGTCCAAAAAACATGCTCTATTGTTTTGAGTGATGAATTTGTGGTCCTAGACACTGCAGCAGTCATTGTTAAAGCCCAGGGCCTTCATCATCAGATTAAAAACTACTACCCCTTGAGATAACAGAGCAATTCTGTTAGCTGTAAGCAAGCAGTGGGCTCTTATCCTGGGTGTAGTCTAAGCAAGAAAAAACAAAACAAGTGCATACAATTTTCCAGTGTTCAAGAATACTTCATTTCATACATATCACTTTAACTTTGTGCTTTAGTTTCTTCCTGGATAACAGGATGTTTTGAAGCTTAATGCTTCTCAGCTGAGGTCTTTTTGCCTCAGTGTAACTCCACTGTTGCCAGCCTTTAGAATGGATAGGGTGCACTAGTATTAAATGATTGGCAGCAGCAGCACGATTCATCCTAGTTTCAATACAGGGAAAGTTATGCTGGGGCATGCTAATGCTACAGGTTTCCATCTATGCGAAGCCAAAGCTACTGCTACACTTGTACAGAAAAATATCAGTGTCGTCCAGGCCTTAATGTGTGTAAAGCACTTTGAGAGCCCCTAATAGTTTTGGGAAATATTATACTCCTTCATTAAATTCCCCTCCCCATTTTATTTGGTTCATATACCTTGGCTTTAGTGCCTTTTCTCCTAAGAACAGGATGTCTTTCTTTTAAGGCTGTCAGTAATGTTCTTTAATTGGAAGAGGTTGTTAGTGTTATAAGAACTGTGATGTGCTGTATCTCTACAGGCTATGAATATTTTGTTGTTTTGTGGTGTTCTTAATCCTTGATCAGAGCTGAAATATGTTTGACAGTGTGTGGTGGAGTTGGACATTGGGACCTGGTCTTATGGCGTTTGAGATGGATATACAGAGGAAGAAGTATCTCCCAAGGCAGTGTTTGTCAGTGCCTCATTTGAAAGCATTAAGCTTTTCAAAAACAGGTGTAGACGCATTTAAAGAATCCTGTTGCTACCCAAGCATGCAGCTGAAATCTCTGACAGGATAACCTTTCTTTATCCTATTAGACCTGCCCCTCCCTTGTCCACCCCAGGCTCTTGACTAATGACTGTCAAACTGGCGACTGGTGAGTTCAGTTTGACTAACTAAGAACCCTTCAATTAATCTGTGCAGCTTCACAAGATCAGCTGTGTGCTTCTCTTAAGTGCCCCTACTCTTTTTAACCCAATACATTCCCTTAAAAGGGTCTTAGTTTAATGGGGACTCCTGGTCTTTTGTCAGATCTTACCCAGCTTGTGTCCTTTGATAAATACACAGCCAGTGCCTGGAGAAGACTGGAAGGGACTTCTTAAGTCATCAGATCTTATACCTTGTTATCATAGGCAACCACATTATTTAATCCCTTTCATAAATGTATTAAGATCCATCTTAAAACAAGCTCGATTTCTTGGCCCTGCTGCTCCTGCAGTTGGAAAGGAGTTCCTGAACCTACTGCAATGTTCCCACAAAGTGGTTTCTACTACTAGTGCCCCAGTTAGTCTTGCTGGTAGTAACAGTACTTTGCACTTAACACTTACTCTTATTTGTGTTGTGATGCACTGTGGAGCCCTGGTTCTAGACCAAGGCCCCATGCTGGTATTGTGCACACATATGCATGCATACCTCCCATAGAATAAGGGGAGCCCTATTCTCAAAAAACATAGTCCCTTTATCAGTAAAAGCTCAGAATCCGTATAAAGTTAGGGTGATGTTGCAGCTGTGATGGTCAAGGAAAAAGCAAGAGGCAAGGATTTTTGCGGGTGATATTTTTTTTTTTTACTACACCCACTCTAGAGATGCTTAATTCTAATAATATCCTTGTGAGTTAAGTAGGTATTTATTTCAGTTTTACAGAGGGTACAAATGAAGCACAGAGGTTACAACTTGCATATGTACTGCAGTAAATCAGCATCGCTAAAGTATACAGCTTGGCTCTGAGTCCTTTAATTGCTTAACTGTTCTTTTGCCACCCACGAACCATCCTAAAAACTTGGAAAATGAATATCTACATCCTCTTGTGGGAGTAATTTTTGCCAATAATATAATACTTTCTGCTAATGATATAATGATTTGTGCTTTTATAGGAACTTTCACGTGTAGCCATGTGTCAGGTAAGTATGAATATGTTGTGTAGCAGATTACTTCAGCTTTTTACCTTTGTCTTATGGAATCTTACCACAATTTGCCTCTCTGAATAAGGGTCCTCTCCACTAGCTACTAGAACTCTCACAGCTATATTTAGGAACCATTCAAAACTGGATTTTTTGGAGGCATAGGGGAATTTCAGAGTAAACACATTCTATAGAGATTTAGCTTTCATCAATGATAAGTGCAAGAACAGTAGGCACTATTGAGTATAGTGAGGCTTCTTCTGTTTGGAAATGAAGGGAGCAAGCAAGGGTTGGCTCATGGAAATTTCTGATAACTGTGTATCCCACTCTTTGAAATACACATATATGTATGTATAATTAAAAAAAAAATTTTTTTTACACTCTTTTACCATGCCAGGCAATTACAATCATATCTTAATTGATATTTCCTGAGCTCTTACTTTTAAATAGTCATAAGATACTTGCCCAGAATCCAAGCACCAATTAGCTACCCAGTATTTAAATTTTTTATCTGTATGAGAAAAAAATAGTGGAATCACTTAGAATTTCTGAGTTAGTAGATCTAGATGATTTGGGTTTATGTATGGGATAGCGAGACATTTGTCTTTAG